TAACAGAGATTTACAGAGCATTCCACCTTAGAGCTGACAACTATACATTCTTTTCTTCAGCATATGGGACATTCTCCATGACGGATCTTATGTCAAGAAAAAAAAAAAAAAAAAAAAAAAAAAAAAAAAAAAAAAAAAAAAGGAGAACCCGCAACACCCAGGAAAAAAAAAAAAAAAAAAAAAACCCAGCAAACAGCATCTGATTTGTGTCCCCTAAAGTCCTTCAGTGTGTGTCAATCCTCTAGGCCAACCAAGAGTCCCATCTCTGAAAGACAATGTCTTTCCCTGTCCCAGCAGCCATCAATTGCCAAAAGTTATAGTAAAGGATACTGCCGATGGGAAACAGGAATAATTAAGTGTACAGGACCATATCATGTACAGCCAATGTCTGGAATGTGGAAAGTGAATAATTGGCTTTGAATGTTTTACTTTTATGTCCTTCCATTACCAGTACATGATAACTCCATTCATACAAGCAGGTAAGGTCTCCATGGAGTTTCTAGCCATCACAGAATGTTAGGTTGGTGGTACGGGCCTTTAGTACTGCTCATGAGGTGACACAGAGGAAGGAATTATTTCATCTTTGCAAATTATATTTTGGAATATTCATCATCAACAGGCTTATCAGCTATGGCACTATTGACATTTTTCTCCAGAAAACAGACAATGTTTGGATGTGTGTGAGAACTGTCAAGTGCATTGTAGGGTGTTTAGCAACGTCACCACTAGATGACGGCACTACTGTCTTGTTCAGAAAACAAAAATGTCACCAGAGACTAACAAATGCCCCAGTGATCAAATTCATTCCAGGCAAGTAAACAATGTAGAGTACCAACAACTTAATTTTCCATTTTTGGCTCTTGAAAGAAAAGTGCTTTTGAAAATGACTCATTACTAGAGAAAACTCTTGTATATTTGGAGAGAACATTGCACAGTATGTATAATTGTGCTTACAATGGAATTTGTTAACAGACCAATGCTGCACATCTTTTTAAAAAAACTATTCATTAAAAATGTTGTGTGTATGAGCATTTTTTTTTCTGCATGTATGTAAGTGTGCCATGTGTGTCTAATGCCCACAGAGGCAAGAACAGCTGTCAGATCCCAAGGTACTGGAGTTACTGACATTTGGTAGCCACCATGTGGGTGCTGGGAGTCAAACCTGGGTCCTCTGCAAGAGTGACCAGCACTCCTAACCATTGAATCATATCTCCATCTCTGAATACTTCACATCTCTGATCTTAGTAGACAACTTGGAAAAATGGCCAATGATGGCCTATAGTCCAGAATGTCTTTGCTGCACAAATACCTTCCCCATGCCTCTGTAGCCAGATATTCTGAACAGGCATCAATAAGGAGTAGGTGTGAAAAATTTTTCCTTCTCTCTTTGCAGCTTTTATATGTCAAAGGCCACTATAGTGTCTCCCTAAAGAAAAATCAACTGTCATTTTAAACTGAATATCACAGGATATGTTTATTTTTAAAGTAAGTTTGTTTTTGTAGTTGACAATCTTAAACTTTTTTCATATTTTAAGTACATCTGTGGAAAGAATGTAAGAGTCAGAATCTATGGAACTGAGCAATGTCATCTTTAGGGCATGACATGGCCATTGCAATCATGAGCACACCAGCCGAGGGTGCTGGTACTGGCCTGCCCAAGATTGGGCTGGTCAACAGTCATAGAAGTCATAGAAAGGAACCGACTCAGAAACATACTCTACATACTGAACATTATTATTGGTAGAGTAAGGAGAAAAAGTCACTTTGCTCACTTGTGTATTCAAAGGTGACCCCACCAGGCTTCAAAGGAGAGCTCAAAACCCATATTCACACAGAGGTCCCTGGTTAAACTCAATTGGTCAGAAGACAAAACGTAAGTAATGAAATGGGAAAGGTGTTAATGAGGCCCTCTATTGAGTCAATGGATTTTAGGAGGGGGACAAGAAATTACTTCAGATGTGTTCCTTCAGCTGAGTCACCAGGTCCAACATATAGTTCAAAACCCACTATCTGGGATTAGAGAGATGGTCAGGAATTAAGAGCACTCTCTGCTCTTACAGAGGACCAGAATCAGTTCCTAGCACCCACATGGTGGCTAACAGTTGCCTGTAACTCCAGTTGCGGGGGATCCAATGCACTCCTTTGACTTCTATGGGCATTACATGTCACAGGTGCACTTAGATACATCCAAGGAATACACGAATACACATACAATAAAAATAATAAATTAAATTAAAAACACTCCTGTTTAAAATCAGTGGGTTATAATATAAACTGATTTTTTTAAATGCCTGTACATTTAATTAAGTCCTAAATATGATATTACACATAAACACAGAACACACAAAAGCAATATCATTTAGCACAACAAAATCTCTGTTGAATTTCCAACAGAATTTCATTCTTCTTGTAGGATTTTATTCATGTTATTTCCTCTTGAATAAAACTATGTGCTTAATAAGATCTATCTTCAAAAATGCAGTTCTTTCCCTTCTTGATGGTCAAGTACAAATGACTCTCTTAATTGGCTAATTTATTATTATAGTGTGCATATGATGCATATGGGGTAGTGTGCATGCATGCCATGGGTCCACATGGAGGTGAGTGAGGAACTTAATGGAATCAATTCTTTCCTTCCATCTTTACAGTCATTCTAGGGATCAAACTCAGCCCACTACTCAAGTCAACATGGCATACAATTTATCTAATGAGCCATCTCCCCAACCAATGACCCCTTTTAAAAAATTATTACCATCCATCATGCATTTGATATTTCCTTCTTTGAAGATTGTTAGGCAATTTGTATTTTCATTCATATACATATTTTTTACATGATACTTTGTATTTTGCAAGGAAAGAACTCTGCCTTACCTTCACAGATATTTCTACTTTTACAATGCATGTGTGATCTTTAACAATCTCATTTCTATCGGGAATCATGTATGAAGGGAGGCCTGCAGGAACATTGTTAAGTAATATAAGTTTTTCCTTCTAATATTTATGTTATCTTTTAATCTTCAAATGAGAGTATAAATTATATTAATTCAGTTTTTGAGATGAACTAAAATACAAGAGAATTTGTTCATGTATTTTTCCAGAAAAAAAGAGTACAGCGCACAGGCTATTCTTCTGAAAACAAAGTTCATTTCTGTTCAGTTGAAGAAATTAATGTCAGTAATTATAATGTTATCTTTGCGGTTAAATCATCAAGAACTCCTTTATTCATGTAGGAGTCAAATTTCTCAAGAAGAGGAAAATGGAAAAGATATTAATTTAATATTCTTTATCTTTCTGACTGTGTTTTTGACATCCTTGTTTCTCAGGCTGTATATGAGGGGATTCAGCATGGGGATCACCACTGTGTAAAACACAGAGGCCACTTTGAACATGAGCTTGGAATTCTTGGAGTTAGGCACACAATACAGGAACAGGATAGTGCCATAGAAGATGGTGATGGTGGTCATGTGGGAAGCACAGGTGGAGAAGGCCTTACGACGTCCGCTTGCTGAATGCATCTTGAGGATGGTTACAATGATGACTATATAAGACAGCAGGATCATGAGGAGTGTTGTGACAGAATTTGCAGTGGAAAGTGTGAATAGAAGAAGTTGGTTGATATGGGTGTCAGAGCATGAGAGGGCAAGCAGTGAGGAGAACTCACAGAAGAAATGATCGATTGTGTTGAAACCAACAAACGATAATTGTACAATGGAGCACGTCATTGTCAAAGAACATGTGAGCCCCCATGCATATGCTCCCACCACCAGAGTGATACAGAGCCTCTGGGACATAGCTACAGTGTAGAGCAGGGGGTTGCAAATGGCCACAAAGCGGTCATAAGCCATCGCTACTAATAAAATGGACTCTGTTACTACAAAGAGAGCAAAGAAAAAATATTGAACTATACACTCTGAAAATGAAATGGTTCTGTCATTTGCAAATAGGTTCACAAGTATCTTGGGAACAAAAGTGGAGGAGTAGCAGAAATCCACAAAGGAGAGGTGTCTGAGGAAGAAGTACATGGGGGTGTGCAGTTTGGGGTTAATTCTGATTATGAGGATCATGCCGATATTCCCCACCACGGTGATGCTGTAGACAGTGAGAAATATTAAGAAGAGGGGAACTTTCAGTTCTGGGTAATCTGAGAAGCCCAAGAGGATAAATACGGTCTTGCTGTTATTTCTTTCTGACAGAAACATGGCTTCTATTTTTCAGAATCTGAAGGTTTGTGCTAAGAAGAAATAGTACAGATCATTCATTAGAGTATTAGAAACCTCCTTTATTACCTCTGTGAAATGTTTCCTGGAGTATAAAGAAAATTACTCCTTCATCTGGTTTCTTAGTGTGCCAGAGAAGCTATGGGTCTCAAATTTTTAAAAATCTATAACTATTTTTAAATCATCTTAATAACAATACAACTGTTGAATTGAAAGTATATGTTCACCTGTAAGTTTTTAGTATTTACTACTTCAGAAAAGTGATATTTTATACTGTTATCTTCAGTTCTAAATATAATATAGTTACTTCTCAATGCAATTTCATAAATCATTAGTTTAATATAATAACTGATTTTCTTAACCCTGCAATCCCAAATATCTAAACACAATGTATGTCAAATATGTATGCATTGACAATCATGTATCTATCTATCTATCTATCTATCTATCTATCTATCTATTAGCTAGCTATCTATCATCTATCTATCATCTATCTATCATCTGTCTATCATCTATCTATCTATCTAGCTAGCTAGCTAGCTAGCTATCATCTATCTATCATCATCTATCTATCATCTGTCTATCATCTATCTATCCATCAATCTATCTATCATCTATCATCTATCTATCTATCTATCATCTATCTATCTATCTATCATCTATATCTATCATTTATCTATCTATCATCTATCTGGCTATCTAGCTATCTAGCTATCTCTATCATCATCTATCTATGTCTAATTGTGTGTATTTTTTACTTTGATATTTGAATTTAAAACTTTGTGAATCTCAACATGGAAATATTTCTCAAAATTAAATCTCATTTATTTTACAGAGGATATGCTTATCATTTTTCTATATTACCAAAAAAATAAAAAGTTTAAGATTATAAGGATTTTATAAATTATGGGGCTGAAAAAAATTACTCAGTTAGTAAAATGCCTCAGGGAATACATGCAGACATATATTTGATCCCAGGAACTCAGAATTTTAAAAAGTTGGGTGTGAGAGAATGAGCTTTTATTCCCTGCACTAGAGAAATAGATCCAAGTGGCCCCTTGGAACTCACTGGCTAGCCAGCCTAGCTTTCTTGATCTCTCCAAACAAGGTGAAAAGTGACTGAGGAGTAATCCATGAGGTTTTCCTGTGGCGTCCCCTCCCATATGCACATTGGTATGTGTCACCAAACTTGCTTGTACACATGCATGTGTGCACACGCACATGCACGCACTGGTACCCCCCCCACAGACACACACACACACACACACACACACACACACACAGACAGACAGACACAAACACACACAAAATCACAGAGACACATGAAAATGTTTGCTTTCTTATTCTTGTAGTGACCGGTTAGAAGTTACTCGCTAGAAACCAGAGAGACTGTTTTTTCCAATAATGTGGAAATACAGAGAAATCTACTTGACCACCTTTAATATCCTTATTCTTAAATTTCAAGGTGTCAACATTTCATACACCATATTCTCCTTTTTCCTCTTTGTCCATATATAGTTATAAGTACTGTTTCAATAACCATACTTTCATTATGGAGCAAAGTAGATTTTAAACTATCTGACATAATGGGACTGATAGCATAAGCACCACAGAACTAAACTAGAATGCTAGCATGCAGCATCAAGACACATCATTTGAAGAAAGATATGAAAGAACTGGTCAAGCATATGAATAAACTACATTAAAGAAAATATGATTTTGTTCAATGACACTATACATATATTCTGCCCAAGTTATTTTCCTTATAGAAGTTAATATCTTGAATATTTTTTGTAATCTTGAAGCAAACCTTTTAATAGTGAAGTCAAGATCTCTGATGATGGGGAGTGATATGCACATTCTTATATTTATAGTCTTAGCTTTGGAGACACAACCCTAGAGACTTCATTTTTCTGCTGCTTTTGAGACCACAGAATAAGCAATTATAATTAATCACTGCTATCTGATGCAATAGTTTAAAAATCATATATACATTGAGACCTAGAAATCATACATTTATGCTCTATTTTATGATATCCAATGTACATATAGAGTACTCAATGATAATATTAAGGTAACTGGAAATATAGCAATACATGCACTTTTTTGTTCTTAGTACTGGAAACACTCAAAACCTTCCCTAGTAATTATTAAAATAATTATTATCCGTGACACCTGCAATTACCATACTGTGCTAGAGAGCATTCGCTCTCCTCCCATTCAAGCCACCCCTGTTTTCATTAAAAACCCTTCTCTAAACCTGCTTACCCTTAGCTAGTACAAGAGCTGGTTATAATTTTTATTTTCCACAGCTTCAAGAAAGACTTTTTGTCTTCTGCACGTAGGAAACACATATAATATTTTTCTTATGACACTTTGCACATTTCAGTTACTGAAATGTCCCTCGCTTCTATCCATGGTCCTGCAAATGACAGAATTTCACACTTAACAGATAAATATCAGCATATATACATTTCTTTAAAATTTCTCAATTCATGAACACAGTTTCATTCCATTTTTTGACTAATGTGAACATTGCAGCAGTGTGTAAGTAAATTCAGAATAAATTGCAATTTATATGCACATCAGGAAATTATATTTGGATAGCATGGTACCACTATTCCTTCCTTCTTAGTGTCTCTCCATATTTTTTCTCTAAAGTCTTCCTTATTTTTCTTTTAAATCAACAGTCTATGAGTATCTCCTCATGAGTGAATTAATACTAACAGATGAAACTCTCTTAGCAGATATTTATAGATCATCATCTGCACGTTTTCCTCATCAATGCATTGAACTTCCCTCAGAACAAATATTGTAACCAGCAAAGCAAATCTAAATTCCAAATTAACACTAAAATCTTCTCTGGACATAGTGAGATAAAACAAGAAGTGCTCTGGCCATAGATATATAAAACAGGAAATCAGTAAATGATCCATCAAAAATTTTATAAGAAATAGAAACAAACAACATTCCTTGAGTGAGCAGTAGACAAATAAGAGATAACACTCTCATGAAACACATGAAAAAAAAAAAACTGAAATACACTACCACCTATGAGACATAGAAAAATCAGTGCTAATAAAAACTAACAAAATAAATTTTTACATTAAGAAAAAATATGTGAAATTATCTAACGAACTAAAAAATTTTGAAAGTGAGTAGTTAAAAAAGTATAAATAAAAGAGGAATGAAAATACACATTGAATAAGGTTTTGGTTTTGTAAAGAGTAAACCTAACTGGTGGTTAATGCAGAGACTCACAACTGGTAAATTGCAGAAAATAGGTGTCAGTGGAGTGCTCACCATCAATGGGACATCTATATAACCCTCCCCCAACAATGGAAGGCACAGGGATGATCTTGGAAAGGGGGCAGGGCTATTTTAAGAGACAGATGGGGGAAGACAAGAACAGAACATTTTCTTCTGTACGTGAAAGAACCACTCTACTCATGAGCCCACAGCACCCGTGGTTGCCTGTACTAGACCACAACATCAAGCCAGTCAACATTATAGCATGGAAGGATAAGGATTCATGTACCCCCAACACCAACATTATGGACATTTGATTGGCTTTGTGGGAGGGAGTGTCATTTTTCTTTAAGAGTTTGTCCCCTTGAACATTAACCAGGCTTCAGTGGATTGCTGCACATCAGTATATAGACAGCACTAATGAGACTCAAAGAGTTATTCCAAATATAAGACATGAAGTTTAGGGAGTCTGGGATGTGAGGTGGAAGTAAAAAAAATGTGGAGAAGTGTGGAGTGAACATGATCAAATTGTATTCTGCTCTGAAGGCCAAAAATGTCAAAAATATTTGGGAGCTCTTATCTCATCCCTAAAGATTTTAGGCTTACCTCTTCAGAGGGAGGAATGTTAGAGTAACAAATAGTACCATAAGTTTAACTGGTCAAGATTGTAAAACCCTTAGTCTATCTGTTGGAGGACCCATCTTTCTAGTCTTACTGGTCAATCACCTGGTGATAGAACCACCCTTAGGAACTTGTTATTCTAAATAGATGGGCGGAATACCTGGTGTAGGATTCCTGGAATCCTGCCTTGTAACACAGAATTCTGAAGAACTTCTGACCAGCCACAGTCATGTAGGTTTCTGTAAGTCTGTTTGCTTTCTGTTGTTTGAGTCTGTTCTTCACTTCTTTTATGTATGAGACTAAGAACCCTCTCAAGGACCCTCTTTCCCCTGTTTCAGTACAGGCCAAAACTGCAGACATAATGACATCTTACAGTAATTAAGAGACAAAATAGACCTACAATAATAGTATGTGAAGGTACTTTGCAGACAATGATAGACTGGTACTGCTCTTTCAAATATTCTGGAAAACAATCGTTTTGTACTCTTTTATGTTCAGAATGGAGCATAATCAGAAACCCTCAAAAATTAAATTAAATTAAAATTTAAAAATAGTTGCAGAAATCTGAACCTCGGGAAATGTTAGAAGGAAACATAGGCAATACCCTACAAGATAAGGTGTAGGAAAGGACTTTCTAAATAGACCATCAGTTGCTCAGTAGTTAAGATCAACAATCAAGAAGTGGGAACTCATTAAACTAAAATATTTCTGTATAGCAAAACAAATAAGATAGTAAAGAGGAAACTCACAGAGTAGAAGAAAATCTTCACAAGCTAACACATTGGACATGGGATTAATATCCTGAATACACAAAGAACTAAAATAACAACAACAACAACAAAAAACCAAGAACAGCCCACAAAGAAACAAGCAAACAGATGACCCAATAAAAGAATGGGCCAAGGACTTGATTAGAGAGTTCTCAAAACAAGAAATATAAATGACTATGAAACACCTTAAAAAGTGTTTAACACCCTTAGTAATTAGGGAAACGCAAATTAAAACCATTTTAAATTTCATCTTACCCCAGTCAGACTGACTATGATCAAGAGAAAAAAATGGTACCAAATGTCGGTGAAGATGTAGAGAAACTGGAAAACCCAATCAATGCT